TCTTTGGATGCAACTCAGCATTCTTTCTCCTCCAAACACGTCTAGTTGAGTTTTTACCAAAAAGTTATATTTTGGTTTCATCTGACCATATGACGACATTCTCCCAATCCTCTTCTGGATCATCTAAATGCTCTCTAGCAAACTTCAGACGGGCCTGGACATGTACTGGCTTAAGCAGGGGGACACGTCTGGCACTGCAGGATTTGAGTCCCTGGCGGCGTAGTGTGTTACTGATGGTAGCCTTTGTTACTTTGGTCCCAGCTCTCTGCAGGTCATTGACTAGGTCCCCCCGTGTGGTTCTGGGATTTTTGCTCACCGTTCTTGTGATCATTTTGACCCCACGGGGTGAGATCTTGCGTGGAGCCCCAGATCGAGGGAGATTATCAGTGGTCTTGTATGTCTTCCATTTTCTAATAATTGCTCCCACAGTTGATTTCTTCACACCAAGCTGCTTACCTATTGCAGATTCATTCTTCCCAGCCTGGTGCAGGTCTACAATTTTGTTTCTGGTGTCCTTTGACAGCTCTTTGGTCTTGGCCATAGTGGAGTTTGGAGTGTGACTGTTTGAGGTTGTGGACAGGGGTCTTTTATACTGATAAAGAGTTCAAACAGGTGCCATTAATACAGTTAACAAGTGGAGGACAGAGGAGGCTCTTAAAGAAGAAGTTACAGGTCTGTGAGAGCCAGAAATCTTGTTTGTTTGTAGGTGACCAAATACTTATTTCCCACCATAATTAGCAAATAAATTCTTTAAAAATCAGACAATGTGATTTTCTGGATTTTTGTTCTCATTTTGTCTCATAGTTGAGGTATACCTAGGATGAAAATTACAGGCCTCTCATCTTTTTAAGTGGGAGAACTTGCACAATTGGTGGCTGACTAAATACTTTTTTGCCCCACTGTATACACAGGTCTCAGATGGACTTGGTATCACATTAAGAATGATATTCAGTAATAAGTCTGGCAAAAATAAATGGTTTAAATGATTTATTCGAGCTTGCAATGTTTTGAACACACATCCACAGTCACCTCATGTGTCTTTTTGTAGTCCTCGCTGTACGCGTCCACATAAGGGCATCGCAACCACAACCTCACACACTGGTACTGAATGTGCATCAAAGTGTTCCTATGGAGCCAAATATACCAAAAGATTTATGTAAACGACAGAAGAAGCGATCGAAATGTGTATTTCCTGGTTATTCGACAAAGGCCACGCCCCTGTCTAAAATAATAGAATGACGCTAGCTGTCATGACTCAAGTTATACTCTAACAACGTTACTTAGCCTGTCCCTCCTGTCTTGTAATCCGCTCGATGAAGTTCTCCATAGCAGACGGGTTCTCAAAAGTATGCGACTTGTCCTTGTAGGTTACCAGGAGCCGAGCCGGTAATAGCATGCTGTACCGGATCCCCAGGTTCAGTAGTTTCTGACGGACATTATCGAACGTCTTCTACCGCTTGTGCACTCCTGCAGCCAAGTATTGGTAAAATCTCACTGCTGGTCTTTGTATAGGATCTGTTTTTTTGCCCTGGCTGCCTTCGTTACAACCACCTTGTCCCTATAGTTTTGGAATTTCATGATAAATGTTCTTGGTGGGGCATTAGCATCCCTCCTCTGGCCGATTCTGTGAGCTCTCTCCAATATAAACTTTGAACGTAGCTGGTCCTAATTCAACACGTCTGAGATCCAGTTTCCGAGGAAAGCACAAGCATCCCCTCCTTTGGCGTCTTCTGGCAGATTCACCAGTCTCAAGTTGGATAACCTGGATCTTGCCTCCAAGTTTTCAACTTTATCCTCTAGCTTGGTGTTTTTAGCCTCGAGTGTTTTCACCTTAGCTTGCAAGGAGCTCACGTCATCCTCGGTGGATGAGATTCTTACTTCATCCTCTGCAATTCGTTCTGAGCATTCATGTACCTCTTTTCTCACTCCCTATAATGCCATCAAGTCTTGTGTCAGACTTTAGAGAGCCTATGGCAATCAGGATTTTCTCCAAGCCAGCTTCCCTCAGCCCGATATCACCCATCTCAACAGAGGCCATGGCTGGTGCTATGCTAGTGCTAGGAGAACTTTCTTCAGCTTCCACGTGTAGCTTGGATGCTCCAAGGTTTTCTAGTTTAGACTGAAGTGATTTCATTTTCCGGCTGCATCCAAAATTTCACTCTCTTTTCCGTAGAGTAGATGCGATGGGTTGTCGTAAAACGTGTTTAAAACGGTATTTAAGATAGAAATTGGCGGAGCACTGATAGTTGCGTCTTTCTAGCGAGCCACCGTAACCGGAAGTTGATGATTGATGATTTAAACTAATGGCTGCATGTAAAAGTCAAGAATATCACAAGCCTTTATAATTTCAGACTTTTGGTAAAAAGACTCAAAGAGTTTTCACTGGTTCAAGCTGAACAGGAACAACATGTAAGATCCTCCAAAAGTATTGTTGAGTTCACCTCGTGAAATCACACCTCGTCCCCATCGGCCGCCTTCAATCCAAGTAGTTACATGTGCCCTCTTCTTTAAAAGGGCTTTGGTTTCATGGGTTAGGGTTAGGGTTAGGGTTCCAAACTGCTGGAATGCTCCAAGGATCTCCTCACATCAAACACTTGCAGCTGGAGCAGAGACCCTGAGGTCCCTGATGCTCTGCTGAGTCATCAATATCTCTGCTGCAGTGAGGCAATGCTACATGTTATCCTCGGTGAACAGAAAGCATTCCGGTCTCACATGCCTTTTATTTAGGAGACAAAATGGTTGTAGAGGGATCTTTTGAAAAAGAATATTCTTGGATCACAGTTAACCACACAGTGTGCTCATTGGTGATAGTCAGGCCATTCCTGCATTCCTACATTTAGTTTAGGTTGAGTTGGCTCAGAAAATATCATGCATGATCATTCTGATTTCACTCATTTCTTTTAAATACAATCTTTCCATCACAGAAGAGGGATTGCATTTTTTGTCTTGCAATGAGTTGATTAGACAGGTACTGATCATCCATCCTAAGTTTAAGTCAAATAACAGCAGTTTACATCCGATATAACTGCATATGTTACATCCGTACATGTGCTGATTCTAGCCATTTGGTGGCTGCTACAGTACTAAGCAGCATTTTGTGTTGTTTGAAATATCAATTTTTCTAAGAAAAGCTTTTATCCAAAGCTTCTTACAATAAATTCAATCAACTATGAACATAAAAATCTCAGAAGCAAGAATCCTGGCAGAACAATACTTTTGGTTAGCCAAACCAGTGTACGCGCTACTGTATTGGCTTCACATTTTGGTCCCTTGATTTATTTTGAAAATGTTCCTTTAAATTGAACACATTGTATCCCAGGTATTGTGTATTGAGCATGGCCTTTTACAGAAATGGATAGTCGTAATTAAAAGATAGAGAAACCGTACATTCATCTAAACGGCAGGACTGAATGGGCAATGTGAAAGCCGCCAGCATGGATTTCATTGATTTGATTGTTTCTCTGGAGGAAACACAATTAGCTGCTAGCACCACATCAACATTAAATCATCTTATTTAATTATTATCTGAAACATTAAAAATAATAAAGGCTCCACCATGTTCACCAGGTTGATGAGAGCTGCAAAACAAAGGGCTAAAATTTAAAACGTAAACATGCTATGATGTGAAAGTTTACTTACGATATGTCCTGTGTAACTTTACAGAATAGTAAACCAGATTCCCTGCTGAAAATGGAAGAAGATTGCAAATTTGACAGAACACCACTGTCAGGCAATAAAGACAGATTCAGCTTCACCATGTCTCACAAGAAGACGCTGGGGTATGTTTTCCCCGCTCTCAGGTGTTCTGTAGTGATCATAGCAGCAGCTCCAACACTGCGTCATTATCCTGTGTTTGCTTTTCAGCTCCAAGATGCTGAAACCTCAGACCAACTCAAGTGTTTTTGGATCATTACAAAACCTAAAAGAGGACAAATCCAAGCCGGTGAGAGACGAGTACGAGTATGTCTCAGATGAGGGGGAGCTGAAGATTGACGAGTTCCCCATCAGGCGGAAAAAGAACGTGGTCAAGAGAGATCTGTCCTGTGAGTGTCCCTTTGTAGCAGGGATGGAGGCCTTGACCTCACGTTCACAGTATTTATGTAAACATAGCTTTTTCTTTGCATTTTGGCCACACCCACACAGAGTTTAGGTCACAGAGTGATCTTGTGTCAAACAACAAGGTGTGTGTGTGTGTGTGTGTGTGTGTGTGTGTGTGTGTGTGTGTGTGTGTGTGTGTGTGTGTGTGTGTGTGTGTGTGTGTGTGTGTGTGTGTGTGTGTGTGGAGGGAGGGAGCTAAACTGACATAACCAGTATTTTCTCTTTCTGTACATATGGAAACAGTCAGGTTTTCTGTGTTTACGCCTGTTGTGTACATTTGTTAACATTTATATAAGCATTGTTTGTTTCTGCGATCGTTCGTGCACAAGCGTCCCTTGCCTACATGGTGAGTGTGTGTGTGTGAGCATCAATCCAACATTTTTATCCATTAAAGGTGTAAACGGACATTCTGTATTGTCTCTCTGCAAACCAAACATAACAATTCCATCTGTTTAAATGGGCTTGCATTTACTCTTTGGTTTCAGGGATAGTACCCTTGTCTGCATTTGTCTGTCTTTGTGTGTGTGTGTGTGTGTGTGTGTGTGTGTGTGTGTGTGTGTGTGTGTGTGTGTGTGTGTGTGTGTGTGTTTTCTGCTTTTTATGTGTACACATTTATTAAACTGGGCTTGTGTGAGCAGCGTTTCAATAGAATGATAAAGCCTGCGTAAATGGGGACTGGGCACTTTGAGACATTGTCTTCCTAGCCAGATAACTACAACCACACAAAATAGCGTGTGAAAGTGAGACCCTGTCAAAGACATTTCAGATATGTTAGAATGTGTATTCACCAGAGTAAAGTATAGATTGTTGTTTTTGTCGAGTATGGTATTAGCACTAACAACCAGCCTTACTGTCCAAAATGAAGCAATATTTCCATTGCATCCTGTGTTTGAGCTATTGCTCAATGGTCAATGTTTTTTCTTCCAGTTTTGTCGGACATTAAAGAACCCATTCAACCAGCCAAGAAACCAAAGTTTCAGCCCTTGGTGAAACCGGTACGTATTACAATCCTTCCCTCCTGGCCATCATGTTATCAAGCTTTCCGTGACAAGACCATGCTGTAATGCTCCTTTAAAACTCAAATCCAAGTGTAGAGATACAATGTTGTGAATCTGAACAAAAACCCTCTAAGCTGAAAGTAAAAGATGGGGCATGAATATGAAGCAGGTGGTTGTGTGGTCACTGACACCATACCATCATAACCGCAGCATAATCCTACAGACCATAATGTAATCCTACAGACTGTAATGTAATCCTACAGACCGTAATGTAATCCTACAGACCTGATGTAATCCTACAGACCGTAATGTAATCCTACAGACCGTAATATAATCCTACAGACCTGATGTAATCCTACAGACCGTAACGTAGTCCTGCAGACAGTAACGTAGTCCTGCAGACTGCAACGTACTCCTACAGACTGTAACGTAGTCCTGCAGACTGCAACGTAGTCCTACAGACTGCTAAGTAATCCTACAGACCGTAACGTAGTCCTGCAGACCGTAACGTAGTCCTACAGACAGTAACGTAGTCCTACAGACAGTAACGTAGTCCTACAGACTGTAACGTAGTCCTACAGACTGTATGTAACGTAGTCCTACAGACACTAACGTAGTCCTACAGACAGTAACGTAGTCCTACAGACAGTAACGTAGTCCTACAGACTGTATGTAACGTAGTCCTACAGACTGTAACGTAGTCCTACAGACTGTATGTAACGTAGTCCTACAGACTGTAACGTAGTCCTACAGACTGTATGTAACGTAGTCCTACAGACTGTAACGTAGTCCTACAGACTGTATGTAACGTAGTCCTACAGACTGTAACTTAGTCCTACAGACCGTAAAGTAGTCCTACATGCATATTTCCAAATACATTTGTGTTAAACTAAATAACTACAAAGAGGTGGTCAGTTGTGTCTGTAAGAACTGCAGAAAAACCTTCAAAAGTAATGAACAGGCACAACCTGAAAAATAGTGATCAGAGAAGTCACATTGTAAAACAACGTTGACTGCAAGTGTCTCAACTTTTGTCTTCTCAACTTTCTCCTTAGAGTGTGGACTCTTCAGATGAAGAGACTCTGCACATAGACACAGAGGCCAAGCCTGAGGTGAAGAGTCGCAACTCGAAGGTCAAGAAAAAGGGCGGAAGCGCTGCAGGGATTCTTGACCTACTGCAGGCGAGCAAACAAGTGGGAGGGATTGACTACAGCACCAACAGGTAGACTGAGCTCCTGCAACACTGCAGTGTTCCTCTTGTTTCTCCTCTCAACAGACTAGCGATGTGCATCTCCATCACTGAGGCCGATGCAATGCGCATCTCGATACGTTGCCAACGATACGATACATTTGAAGAACCAGGCGATGCGATACGATACGATTCACCCCTGTTGCAATACAGTTCTATACGATTTGATTCAACATTATGCGATTCGAACGCTGTAAACTAAACACCACTCTCTCTCTCTCTCTCTCTCTCTCTCTCTCTTTTTAGCATATTGTTTNGTATTAGGGGGCATAAGAAAGGTGTGTTTTACTGCCCCTTTTTTGTTTTCAATTGGCAGAACAGCACTGCATAGTCGAGACGCGTAGTGTCTTTACATTTGTGTGCATAATATCTCCCACTTGCACCCCGAGTGTGCTATCTCTTTTGTGTTCTACTTTTTTAGATAGGGAAGAGTAAATAGGCTGCTTGTAAAGATGACTTTCTGGCCCGTTTTTTTTCACCCTTTGATAAGACGTGGGCACGCTTGACACACAACCTCGTATTCTCTTTTAGCTGCCACTGCTGGGTGAAACTAAAGTAAGTTTGTAAGCTTTACGAAAGACGACGACGCCTGTTCTTCGGTGCTGAGTGCCGAGTCCGCCGTAGTTGGAGGTTTTTGGGAAAAGCTCCCGATGTTCTTTGCTTCACAAAACAATCAGATAGTTCTAGCTATACAACACAGTCTATTGCTTGCTCATGATTACTTGCTTACTCCACGAACACACACACACACACACACACACACACAGCACACACACACACACACACACACACACCACGGGTTAGAAAATGTTATTCATTTGTAACTTACACAAATTTAACTATCCATTTTTCCCAATTTGCAATCACCGTCCACCACACGCACGTCTCTCTTCATTATTCTGCTCGACGTTATCATCTTTTTTCAACATAAGAAGGGGGCGCGTACTAACAGCGTTGAAAGGCGTAATAAGCGTGAAGGGCTTAAAGTGGTATTTCTCAGTGTATTTTGGGGCTCATACCATCTCAGCGTAATTAGTTCCCAAATCGGGCGAGTCTTCACGTTCCTTAAATCGGCGCGTATTAGGTTCCAGAACCCGGAGCAAAGACCTCCCAGATAACATCCATCTTCGACAGGTAAACGTCGTTTGTTTTAAATCGCGACACCGCATCTCAAGCAGGGACGAAAAGCAAAAACCTACACCTAAACTTTGGCCCTAATAGGGAGAAGTACTTGAGGTTGCTCCTATTTGATTTGCTTCTACGTCTGCTCGCCAACTGACTGTTCAACCGCCCCAGCAGCTACGTTCTCCATTCGTGAATTGTCATGGCCGTTATACAGTGTTTAAATTTTGTGACTCACAATGATTTCACGTGAAGAAAGACAAAAGGTACGTAAACTTCAAAGGTGACTGTCGGTACTGTCCTGTCGACACCTTGACACCTGACGTGTCCTCTTGAGATCACACGACATGACGATCCTCTCTCAGTCCTCACACCGTTCACGGACACACTTTCTTTCTTATCCACGGCTCCACAGAACGCTGTCGCACCCGCGAACCTTCTAACACACTAAGTATGTTGATTAATCTGGGTTTCACATTTCAAGTTTTTCCTACATTTACTTTCCTAAACCGTCGAGTACATTACCACGAATGATTGTTCGACTTTTGACAAACCCTAACCTAGTGTTTCTTTTGTGAAGTTTCTTGTTTTTTGGTTGAACCTTTTTGTGCTTTCGTGTAAACGTTACTTCCGTGTTCTTTTATTTGGGACTAGAAACATGAGACAACATTACTTTCCTTACCTTCTCCGGCTGTATACCCTGGCGCAAAGCATTGTCGTCGGACACGTGAACTCCTAGTCAAGGACTAGGCGACTCGTTGTAGTTGTTGCAGAAGCATTTGTTTTACCTGTCAAAATGGTATTAGTCTCAGAAACTTGGTTGCGCAGGTGACACCAGGACCAGAGTAGCATAGGTCTAGAGAGTCCGCGACGAAAAGGACCACAAGAATCCTTCGGCAACCACCAGCGAACACACGTTGGCGGCGGGGGGGCGTGGGCGAGGAATGACGGCCCGGCCGCACGACACTCCTCAACGAGAACCTGACCCGACGAGGTGCCAACGACGTCCGACAGACTTCTGCTGTCCACCCGGGTACCTGTCGTACGGACTTACCGGAGGACACACGACCCTCTACTCCACCCGACGACATTCAGCAGATCTTATGTGTTGTTGTGTAGGTAATGTGGCGTCAGTCGTGCGGCGTCTCCACTTCTCATTGAGTCCTATACTAGCAGGTCACCTTTACAGTCGTCATAACGACATTAAAATAGTAAACCGTGGTCGTGTTTATATTTTACAATAGACATTTATGAGACGTACCTTTAAAGGGGTGTGGATAATGTGATACTTCGACGATCCGACCTGTACCTCCGGAATCACGCTAGAGAGTAAGAGACGTGAGTGGTGCAACAAGAAGTTTCGGGTTTTATAAAATAGTCCATTTTTCATCTGTAAGTACTCGCCGTCGTCCGACCCCCTCGGTCCTCGGTGGTCTAGTTGGTTACGAATGTCTTGCGACGAAGTGAACGATCAACCAAAGTCATGCTTCGCTTGATATTTTATAGAAGGAAAGAAGTAGGTTAATGTAGCCAACGAACTCGTTCATGTAAACAAAACGTCAGCAGCGGGTACTTCCTCGTATGTGATCTCTACACAAGAACTACATCCCTCAATTTCTAAGATGGCTAAGCGTAGCCAAGTGGCGTATTGCAAGTTCTACGCTCACGTGGCCTACTTCTCACGGTAGCCGATGTCAAACCCAACTTGAGCGCTACGTGGCTACATCGCAGAAACGTAGCCATATTTTTTTTAGCAGTAAGTATATTATAGGGAGTAGGACGTCGTAGTCGGTATCTGCTAGAAACTAGAAACGAAGCGAGAATGTTTCTCCGGTCTCATCAGAGTAAATAGTTGTGTGTACCTTCAGCTCCTCTTTCTCTTTGGTCGTGTGGCTGTTTATTGGATGTTTAGTTGCCAAACCGTTGTAAGCTAAAAAGTTACTTTCTGCTTAGTTTGACCGTTTAGCGAGAGTGTAACATTTGCTACGGCTCGGCGAAATTTCATGTGTTCATCAGCATCGTTGAATACTGCGTGTATTTCTCCTCTTGTACCCCCAGACGCCGACTTTATCTTGGAGTGTCAATCTGTATACTCACTTAGTGAGTCACTCCACGAAGCAGTCTTAGTCTTAGCTTAGGCAAATAAATTCAGGGTGTCTCCCCTTTAAACGTCGCCAATGCGCCTTTCTCGGTGTCTTCGAATCGACGTATACAGACTTTACGGCAGGGAATTTTTTGCATCGCGATCCCCATAACTTAATATTCTGGTTTGTGTTGTTATACGATTTTTTCATGATTCAATATTATATATTTGTTTGTTTGTTTGCTTATACGGATTTTTTCATGATTCAAATTATATTATTTGTTCGATATTATTTGTTATACGATTTTTCTCCTCCCGCTCTCCTCTCTCTCCCGCCTCTGCTACTCGGCTCCTGCCAACTCAAGACTAGAGAACTCTCGTAACTAATATCTCTAACTCTTCTACCGGCATCTTCCTCTCGGTACCGACGCGTTACGTCAGAAAGAGTGTTCGTCACTTATTGACCATTGTATAATAAATAAATATGCGGCATTTTAAAAAATCTGCGCCATTTAGCTGATTATGCGGTAAATTCTGCGATCGCAGAATCGCGTTTTTCTGGAGGGTCTATGTAAAAGGCATATGTGGTCTAAACCTCTGAATGGGTGTGATTTAAGCGCGGGTAGGACCCTCGGTTCCTCGGCAGGAGAGGCCGGCGAGAGACGGGGCGCGCGTGGCCTCCATAGAGACGGGGCTGGCCGCAGCTGCAGCAAAGCTTTCTCATCAGGTATGCCACTGCAATAGTTTTACATAACAACAGCAACTATTCCTATAAGCATTGCTCAACCATATGTATGCGTCAACAGGAGGAGCAGCAGAAAAATAAGAAGAAGAAGAAAAGCACCAAAAAGAAGGCAATAGTAATAGAGGAGCCACCGAAAGCCTCTCAGGACAGCAGCTCGCCGGAGCACAATGTGGACGACGGCAGCCTGACGGACCCTGAGTTCAACACAGGAACAGTAAAGTCGCCGGGAGGGCCACAGCCCATGGCGCCCGGCGTTTTTCTGAGCCAAAGGCGACCTTCGATTTCTTCTCCCAACAACAGCAGCAACTCCATGAGCACCACAAGCAGCAGCATGGCCAAGGTGGAACGTGTGGTGTCAGCAGACGCCAAAGGTGAGCCTGAACCAAATGTTCAGAGCCGTTATGTGTGGATTTGTTAGCCGTGCTATCGAACTAGCTGCCCTCCACGTGACCAATGCTAACAACAGCTGATCCTCCAGCCTGCCTCAGCATCAGAGACCAATAGCTAAGACCCTTTGCAGTTGTGCTAATAAGCTAATATTAGCATGCTAAGGTTGGCTTGTTTTCTGATCTTTGAGACATTTATAAAACCTAGAAGACTGTCCCAATCATTTCTCAAGAAGTGTAAGTAACTGGTAACATAATTAAAGTCTGTGAGTCAGTAAAACAGGCAAGCCGACATTACAAATATTTATGATGAATAAAAGTTCCAATCACAAATAAAAAATGAGTATAGACTAAGCCTTCCTACAGTCAGTGGAATAAAATATGGAATTAGTGACTTTTATCAATGAACTGGTGCAAAGTATATTCATCTAGTTAGACATGAGAAAGAGCTGTAGATGTGTGTTGTCATTGTGTTGACATTGTGTAAATGATTGGTGCTGAAGGTTAGTGCTGTCACTTAATACCTATGCATATTACATGCAGTAATCTGAGAATAACAAATAACCCCCTCCTTTCTGTTGGAAGCAGCATCAGTAACATGATGACCTCCATATAACAATCTGTTATTATACACATCATGTTGTTCCACTGTCGGGCAGTTGGTGGCACTTATGGGCCAGCAAACAAAGCCGTTTTTACCTTATAGTATTTTGCTTAAAGAAGTGAAGATGAGGTGATCAGAGCAGCGGAACACTCACCCTGTCTTCTTCTCTTCACAGCAAAGCGGCTAAAGAAAGGCATGGCAACAGCCAAACAGAGACTTGGAAAGATTTTAAAGATCCATCGGAATGGAAAGCTCCTCCTGTAGCATGCAGCATACTGCTGCCGGACTGGGACTCCACCCGGACCCCAAGATCATGCATTTTTCAATTTCTATGAAGAACATCACTCAAATAGGTTTTTGCCTCTACTTATACTTTATAACTTTCAGATATTAAGATGTACAGAACCTACTATAAATATTTTTTAAGAGAACATGTCTCATTTTACTACAGCTGTCAGTTTATCAGGGGTTGCAAACAGATGAAGTAAAAACACATTGCAGTCATTCCAGGATTTGAAAGTATCCCTTGCATGTATTAAGTTGCATGTGCGCTTGAGGCAGGGTATGGGGATTTCTCCTATATGGATGCAGCTTATCATTGCCACACTGATGATTGCGCCCAACCCCCCCACCCCCCTGCAGTTTTCTCTTTATGTTAACACTTAAGTATTTATTGGATTGGAGTCATAGACAGGAAGCCTACTTCAACTGTAAAGCACAACTGTCTGGACATGAAAAGCATAGGATGTGCGACAGTAGGTGGCGCTGTAGCCAATGATAAGCCTCATCTATGTCAGGTGTGCAGTCACATGGGGATACTTTCTCTCTTCTCTTGATTTCCCAGGCAGCATCTTCACACAATACAGTTTATAGAATGTAGCTTGTACATAACCTGTTAAATGACTGCTTTTCTATCCTTCCTTTCCCTTAAGGCTTCATTCTACATTTCCACCAAATGTCTTTTGTTTTAATTTGCTTTTCTTAGATTTGTATTAACATTTTTAAAGGCAGAAATTCATTTTGAACCCCCATTAGATTTAAAGGTGTTGTCTGGAAAGCAACTGAAGAAATAATACATTGTATTGTCATATGGCCTTACATACACAAAGCTAATTGTATTGTGATTCTGTTTGAACAAGAGACACAGCTTGGAGGACATTGATATAACAGGAAAAAAGGAAACTGTGTTTCTGCGACCAGCCTCTTGTTCCACTTGTAGTATCATGAAGGCTTTCGGAATTGTTTTACTAGCACCTTGTGAATTGTTTATGTGTCAGTGATGTAATTTATTCATGTTTGTAGCTTTTTATACTTGTAAAATTCTTAAGAATATTCTTTTTAATTATTTCATCAACTTGTGAAATTTCCCTTAGCAGACAGTTGTTGTTTTTCCTTCTTCTTTTCCTTTCCTTTTCTAGGATGCGTGTGTGTTAGGGGACATCAGGAACATTTTACACACGAGAATCTCCATTAGCACACATTTTTATCTCCATACTGTCTTCTCTTTATGTCAATGTTATGATAGGAAACATGTCCAATGGGTTATTATTCTTATTGGTAATATTCCAGTTATAGTCACACCCTTTTCTTCTGGTCAGGCCATGTTCAGTGTAATGCGCTGTATACTGTATAGCAGCAATGTTTTAGTCACACATTTACTCCATGCGTCCACTTCTCACAGATGAGATGCGCTCCCATCGAACTTTCAGCGGGGCATATTTTCAGGTTTTTATTTGTACAATATTTGTGTTGTTTTGTTGTGATTTATTTTTGTATGTCCGACCTATTAAATGCATCGGCTGTGCCAGACAGTGGATCATACCTGTTGTAGCTGTCTTCCCTCACTGTTATTTGCAGTACTAGTAAGTATTTACAATCCTTTTTGACCTGAATCTATATTTTTCTGTATTTAGACTATTCTGTTTGAGATCATTGCTCACTTTTTTAAGACATCGAGAAATCCTGAGGAACAAACATATTGTTGTTAATGATATGATTGTCCGCCTTGTTTACTTTTGCAATACAGTTACTGTGTAAAACCTACCTTGTAATGTGTTCCTCTCCCACTTGCAACGTGACGGCGTCTTTTTGACGACTAAACAAGTTTCCTGCTTTGAGGATGCATCAAGTGATCCAGGTTCTGCACTCACTTCAGGGTCTGGTCTCCCGGAGCTTAAGCAGCTGCTTTAGCCAAGTCATTAATTAAAACCAAGCCAAAGCCAACACCATTAAAAATGTATTAACGTAAAAGTGCTCTCCAGTTTTTTACATCATCCTGAGCACGAGTGTTCACATACATTCATGGAAAACCCATTCCTCGTGTTCCTCTGACTGAGCTAGGCAGTCTGAGCGTCAGACGGCACGTCTCCATGGTTTATGTATTTGTGTAAATATATATATTATATATTTATATATATATATACATACAGCACACATGGAGCAGCAATATTTGAGTATGATCTGCATATTAGAACTCAAAGTTAGAACACACTCAGTTCATTTTTAAGCCACGTGTTGGTCCATATAATTTGAAGAGGAAAGGGAAGCCCGGTTGAAGACGGGCTGTGAACATTAATGAGGACGTTCTCAGAAAATGAATTGTTGCACATTCAACACATGTCTCCTATAATAATCTAAATGAGTCAGTTAACTATTACTTAATGTATTTCTGAACTGATCCTGTGAAAATAGAAGTTATGTGAAGTCTCCACACATTAATACTATTAATAATAATTTGTATACCCCCTAATTAAAATGCATCAGGACAAAGTTGATTAGACACTTATGGCGATCTTCATGGGAATGTGCATTTCCCCATGTTGATGTTTCATTTAATTTCTCCATCAGATCTGGGATTGTGTTAAAGGTCATGACCCTGTTTCCACCCTGGTTAGCATCAAAGTGAGTTGTTATTGTTAGCTAATTGTTAGCACAGGCTCCGACATCAGCCAATGAACCACGTGTCCTCAGAGACACTGATTTCACTGGGATTAAACGTAGCCTCTTTTCTTTGTGCTCTAATTTAACATTTGATGTCCAAATCAAAGCAGTTACTATTAATATTTGGACAAATTACCATTGTGGGATAAAAAAGTGAACTGAAAAAGAAGTGAGAAATGTGTCCATCATTTCTCATGAATGTGTCCAATTTTAGAATTTTGTAACAAATGTAATGCAAAAATGTTTTAATGTTAGGAAAATAAGTATTTCCCTCCTAGTTGCTTTGCCACTTCCAGCAGTGCAGTTGTTCCCCTCCAAAGGGCAAGTGGGATCACAATTTAAATGTCAGTGTATTAAAAACAATGCCTGCAGAGTGTTCCAGGCTAACTGCCTTCATGGCCACGCTGCGTGGCTCAGTGATCACAGATGTGAACGGGTTGCTTTGAAAAGCCTACGGTCCTGTATGGGAGTCCCAAGTGGTCAAGAGAAACGTGCCATGTGAGAGATGTGTTAATTACACAGGAATGTCAGGTTAGCTTTGCCTTTGTGTGGCCGTGCAGGGATGTGAAGTTACTCAAAGAATTTGGTTTAACCCCCCCCCCCTGCTCTGCCATTTATGCATCCCATTCTTCTGAGTTCAGTGGTGTCATAAGTAATAATGTGTGGTGATTCCTCTGCCAACAGACTGGTAAAGCTTGAGATCTACGAATGAGTAGGGGCCCCGGGGCCACTGCCTTACTGACAGTTTGTAGGCTGTATGGGGGGTGGGGGGGGTGGCACTGATGAAAGGTGGCAGACCTGCAGCTGTTTAAAGCTGCTTGCCTCTGCGTGGATTACCTGCTCTGTCAACCATAGGAAGTCCTCTCTCTGACACACACACATAAACAAACACTCAAACACACAAACAGACACACACACACACACACAAGCAGACACACACACAAACACATACACCCTTTATTCCTGGAAGTATAAAATGATTTGGCTGTCATGGTGCATATATGTATATTTGAGCAGGGATGTCACATACTGCGGCTCCAACAGGCTTCTGAATTTGTTTTATTTTTATTTAAGTGCTTATAGATTTTCCAGCTCTTTCAAAAAGCAATGTCATACATTATATATGCCAGCATAAAATGGAAGTATGGATGATGGAGAAGTAAACGAAACAAACACTGGAGGCTTGTGTTATGGTGCCATGTTTCCTTAACCTTTGGTGAGCCTGAAAGTTTGAAAGTGGAAAACAACACTTCGTCGTTAATCTTTGACACACATCAAGGAAATGACTGTCACGAGTGAAGTGAAAGCCCACCCAACTGAGAGTATTATTAATGTGAGCATGATCAAGGCCTGCTGGAAAAGTAGTTTAATTCTCAGACTGCAGAGAACACTCCCTCTAATTGTCAAAAGCACACCAACCTTTTTTTTAATGAGTTTATTAAACCTTTGGACGTTAACCATGTTTTTAAGTTTTTTATTCTGCCCAACAATGCAAATTGGACTACCTACATATTGATAATGTAATACAAAACCATGGTTAAATCACCTGCTGACAGCTGAATAATGTATGTTTTAGTTGGTGTATTAAGGCAAGAAATAAAGAATCATCGCTCGCAGTTACTAATGATTATTCCATAATTACATTTCTTCCATAACATTTTTTATGTGTATGCCCAAAATCTTTGGAAAGAAAAAGCAGAAGGCACAAATGAGATGCCAGGTGGGACTCCTGAGTGCAGAAGTCATTGTGTGGTAGCTAGCAGAAGATAGTATTTATTTCAAAGAAGTAAGTGTTGAAATTATTTTCTCCAACACACTTTTCAAAGTCTACCTTTTTTGCCTTGTCATTTTCTTGTTTTGCATCTGTGCAAAGTAGATGCTGGCCAGCTCTGTTGTGATTGGCCAACAGCTTAGAGATGTCCTGCCCATAGCAATAGAATAGAAGCATGTTTCAGGCAGGGGGGGAGGAGAAACTCCCTCTGGAGGGAACACAGGGATTTTAGCCTTTGCAGACCATTTATACAGTATGCACTATAGAACACACTAGAGGAAAGGGAACACTACAGAAAGCATCACTAATGGACCAGACCGTTTTACTCCAACCATTGTCATAATTACTGCCCTATAATTAATCCCCGTCAAGAGACAGAAACAAATTGAGCAAGCTGATGAGATAGCGTTAACTTAATGTACTTATCAAATATTCCTAGCTAATTCTATAGTAATAACCTGATCATTCTGTCTGGGAATATATACATATTTAAATGCATTATTTTAAGGATCTATTTAGGTATAATTGCCAGAATTAGTAAATGTAAATGGTAGATTGACAGACATATACAGCAAAAACACTTCTTCCCTACATGTGTTCAGGTATACATATCAATAAAGCCTTTCCTTTTCTTAATAACACACCTCCTGGATCATTATTTGTCTCTCGTTACAAATTATTTATTTCATTTGTTGTGTATTAAACAATTTTTCCTATTTCAAATTAAACATATTTTATTTTCTATAGTTTTTTTAAATTAACGACTGCTTTTATTATGATTATTTTTAAACCGTTAGACATCACTGAATATTCTTTGTGTACACATTTTTATAAACAAATGAGATTTTAAATAGTTTGGTCATGTTATGTGTTCGTAAAAGAAAATTATATGAGTATACTTGCCAATATATAATTAATTCGTTTTTTGTAAATGATATTCCAGTTGGAGATGGGCTGTTGGTGGTCTTAGTGGTGATATCATGACCTCCCTCATTGTTTGCATGCAGTATGGAGGGAAACAGTTTGAAAGCGCTCTTTAAACTCAAGCTTTTGTTGCTCTGCATAAGCTCAATGTTTACCTGAGTAATCTAGAGAAACTCAAGCCTTACCACACATCAACAAGTGTCTTAAACATCTGCACAAATGGCCTGTTTTTAGCCCTACTGAGGCAAATGCTCCCTTAATCCTCCGGAGAGGCTCCTGTGATAGCTCCCTTCATGAGGCCTCTGTAACAAGGTGCTGAAGTCACTTAAGCACTGAGTTAACACAAACAGTCCAAATGATTGGCTGCATTTCCTGCACTCACTTCCCTGTACAACAAAATGCATCTACGGCTGCTGTGTGCTCATCTGTGTGTGATTATCGGAGCTCTAACTGAATCCAGTGACGTGCAGCGCCACCCCGCTCTGAAACAAGTGGGGTTTATTTTCGAACCTCTGCTTTTTCATCACGGCCAGATTGCCTGGAGAGATTGGCTTCCCTGAGCTGTGTAACAGATACCATCTAAATCATTAGGGCTCATTCATTGCCATGTGCCACACTGCGGCTCAGGTTCCTGCGACCCCGAGGTCAAGCGGCTGAGAGCTCCCTGACCTCCAGCACTTCCTCTGAATATTAACAGGGTAGTTATGTAGTCAAAAGCCCTGATATAGAACATTGGTTCATTTAGATAATAGCCAATCAGGCGCAGCGGCGAGGAGTGCAGTGATCTCCACATTAAACTGGACAGGATGGCTGGGCCTTTATGTGGCTTACTGAGGGCATAATGACAGCAAACAGAGGAAGCGTAGGCCTCTCTGGCTAAAATTACGCGGTCACATGCATTCTGGCTGGATGCTTTCCTTTAACTCTAAGTTGGGCTCCTTATGGGGGACGAATCCAGCCAGGCTCCATTATCAAGATGAATGTTGTGCAGTTGCAGACATTAGGGCTATACTATAAGACGGAAAAGTTTAGAGGCTAGGCTGGTCCAAAAGGCATTTACCATGCAACCTCTGCAAATGATGGCAATTTAAATCATCAGGGATTACATTTACAATTGATTTTCTCCTTTCAAATCAGTGCTGGGGATCCAAACTGGAGTCCACGCCAGCATCACTCATGAATAATCACAACTAGCTGCTCTGACACGCCTGCCTTTAAAAAAAAAGACTGTGGCTATTAAGTTGCATCAATACGATCAGTGATGCGTCAGTAATTCATTTGGACGTTATCTAGTCAATCTATGCCTCATCTTTCCTTTAGGACTCCCATAGTATTATGGCGTTTTTCCACTGGACCTAGCAAGGCTTAGTACGGTATGGTTAGGCCTTGGTAGACCAGCAGGACCGGCCCATAGCACTGGCGTTATAGATGTTCGCCTAGGGCGCCAGATCTGGGGGGGGCTGCCCTGGTAGCTCTGGGAGGAAAAAAAAAAATGTTGACCGTTGGTGCTCATCCTAATTTTCGGCCTTGATGTAACAACATTCATAACTAGAGAATGCAATTCCTGAAGAAATTGCTAGTGGGAATGCTTTATGCTGAAAAGCTGACGCTGAACTGCTATGCTGAAATGTAATGTGTAAGAAGAAAGTGAAGAATTTAGATTGAAATTATACATGAACACTGGGGGCTTGAATGTGTGATGAGAGAAGAAAAGAAAGTAAAAAGCCTTGGAAAAGCAGCAGAATATTTGAACTGCAAACTTTTGAACTAACTTGATGGCGAATGATCTGTCGCCATGCCAACGG